CAAGGCTAAGGAGAACCCTTGATTTCCTACTTATTCTCCACGCTTCTCTAAAATCTGTCCTTCCCCACTCCCATCTACCTCATAACTCATCTACAGAAACAGAGTTCAAATCTCTCCCAATTCTTTCACCTTACATTGTAAATTTTCTTTTCTTTTTTTTGTGTGTTTGTTTTTTGTTTTTTTTTTTTTGTTTGTTTTTTGAGACAGGGTCTCACTATGTAGTTGAGACTGACCTGGAACTCACTATGTAGCCCAGGCTGGTCTCCAACTCACAGGATGCTCCTGCCTCAGCCTCCCGAGTGCTGGGATTACAGGCGTGCACCACCACACCTGCCTAAAACAAAATCTTGCTAAATTGCTGAACTGCCCGGGCTGGGTTTGAACCCCTCCTGCCTCAGCCTCCCAGGATGCTGGTATTGTAGACAGCTAAATTAGAAATATTATAGACAGTCAGACAGCGCTGGGCCCTTGAAGTCAATGCAGGAGAAAAGAACACATCACAACTGTGGCTGGAGGCACATTTACTGAAGGACAGGCTTCGAGACAAGAAGAACTGAGTACAACAGGAAAAATCCTTGTTTGTTCCATGTGTGCTTGCTGCATGACTAGTTTCCCGCAATTGATCCTTTAACCCATATTACCTAAGCCATTATACTTGTAATCTTATTGGTTGACCATAGTGTGGCCCCACCTCACACCTACCTTGTGATTTTCCACTGGATCAATATTACCTAAGCAACTACTCTTGTAATCTTATAAATTGACTATAGTTTTGTTCCACCTCAGACCTGCCTCACCTGGTGGTTTTGCTCTAAAAAACTCCCTTGAAAAGCGGGATCTGTAGGCAATCCACTTTCCAAGCCATCTCTCTTAGACAGAGCTATCTTTCAATAAATTCTTCCTACTCTTAACCTCCATTGTTCCTAGAATCCATTCTTCGATTTTAGAGAACAGAAACTTGGTATGTCGGATGTCTAGCAGATTGGGTTTGTTTTCGTTTTTTCTTAGTACCAGGGCTCAAACTCAGGACCTTGTGCTTGTGAAGCAGGTAAGTGAGCTAAATCCCCAGGCAGGTTGGGAATTATAATATTTCCCTTATATTATTTGGAGATCCATATAGCATATGCCCTATATCACTGGGATTATACGCATGTGCCACCATGCCGGGGCTTGGCTCTGCGTTCTTTATCCTCACAGCATTTACACAATTTAAAACAATAGTATATATCTAGATACTTGTCTCTTATTTACATCTCCCCTGCAATGCAAGCTCCAGGAGGTTAGGGACTTTGTCCTGTTAGTGCTATTCCCCTAGGCCCCACAACAACGCCTGGGGCATTGTAGAAATTCAGTGTTTGTTCAAATTGAAAGTCTTGATCTGAACGCTTGTCCCAATATCTGCTGCCACCAACTGATTGAGGCCCATAGATGGCTCCTGGCATGCTCCCAAGTCCCCTCACTCAAGACTTGGATAGTGACTGAATGTGGGCCAGGAAGGTGAGGGTGAGTCTGAGACTGGTCTTTCCAGGACACGGCTCCTCTCCAATCCACACTCGCCACAAAGCAGCCTACACAGCTCTGTGTTAGAAAGTCATAGAGTGCGTCACAACCACGGGTGAAGACGTCTTCTGGTGGTCCCTAAGGTCCTATCTGAGTACATCTCTGACTTCACTTCCTATCTCACTGTGCCCCTTTTCCTCTACTCCCTTCCCTTTGCTTCTAGTTCTCAAATGAAACCTACCTCCAGGACTGGGCACAGGGTTCCCAATTAGTTTAGTTTTCCAGCTCAAAAGCCACCTCAGAAAAGGCTTCCCTGACCGTCCACTCTCAACTGGGGCCTGTCTTCTTCTCCAGCCCCAGGAACTCTAGCATATCAACCTGATTTCCTTCAGATCATGTATCACAGCCTAGAGTTTTCTTGTTTATTGATTCATTAAACTTGACTACGGCCCCCTCCCCCAGCACATACTTTAGTGCCTGGAACATAGTTACAGCTCAAGTACTATCAGTTGTGCTTTCACATTATAACAGTGATGATCATGATCACAAGGATTATGACCGATGGTGTTGACGTGATGCTCTGTCACAGTGAGATTTTGATTTGAGTCTGTGAATCCAAAGAACGGAGTGTATCTAGAGGCAAGATCCATTGTTTGAAGCTTTTTGATCCAGTGTTTTGAAGGCATATCCAGAGTCTTCATGGTCAACTTGTTAAGCACCATCCACTTGAGTCTCTCTAGATACGCCCTCAGCCAAAGCAAACTGGATGTGTCAATATTTTTTGTTTTGTTTCATTTTTTTAAAGACAGGATCTTGCTATGTAGTTCAGGTGGGCCTTGAACTCATTATGCAGCCCAGGTTGGCCTCAAACTCTGCAGTGATCCTCCCACCTCAGCCTCTTGAGTGCTGGGTTTACAGGTGTGCACCACCACGCCCTGCCCAGAGTAGGTTATTCACTCCAGTAATATCACAGATGTTAGTTTAAAATCTAATTTGTAAATTATCCATGTGTGTCCTGGGCGTGGTGGTGCAAGCCTATAATCCCACCACTCGAGAGACTGAGGCAGGAGGATCACTGTGAGTTCGAGACCAGCCTGGGCTACATAGTGAGTTCCAGGTCAGTCTCAACTACATAGTGAGACCCTGTCTCAGAAAACCAAAAACAAAACAAAGCAAAAAAATTATTCATGTGTATTCTCATCTTTGTGGCCACAGAAACTAGCAGCAGCCTGTATGGAAAACTTACCCAAATTCCTATGGTTTTTCATTTCTAGCTCTCTTTCTTCTCATACTATGGTCAGCCTATCACAAGGAATATGTACTACTTCTTTGATTTTTAAACTCATGCTATCCAAAGAAGCAAGGAACAACCAAAAGATGTATGTTGGTAGAGAATCAGATGTACACACCAGACTTAAACAATGGGTAAATAATACTAAATAGTGAGTATTCTTTGAAGCCATGTCAGATCTTGACTCGCAAAAAAGTTTGGAAAACATGATCATTTGAGAGTATTTATTGCTCAGTGTACGACGGAGTGATGAGAAAATGAAACAGTAATAGGTTAAGTCACCACTCAGGGTTCTGAGTTGCCAGACTACACACCTGTAAGCTTAGAAGGAGATTTTCTATCACAAATATAATCAAGAAATGTTGAACCTATGGTGAAAACAATAAAAAGAGGAACCACAAGGCACCTATTAGACCTGGGATCCAATCCCAAATACTGAGCAAATACTGTAATCTAAATACTTAACATTTCTTCCTTACCAGCATAGAACATCAGAAATAATAAACATAACCATCGCTAACATATAATACCTATGAGAGGCGGTATGCTGAACATTTTATTTGCATTCTCTTATTTAATTTCCCATATAAATCCTGTAAAATGGAAATGTAGAATTATTCCCAAAAAGAATCAGGGATTAATCTGTCTGTAATTATTACCTATATCCCCCACCCTTATCTATTGATAGATTGATGTTTTGAAACAAGGTCTCACTATGTAGTTTAGGCTGGCCTTGAACTCATGATGTAGCACAGGCTGGCTTCAAACTTGCGGCAATCCTCCTACCTCAGGTAGCTGAGTGCTAGGACTAAAGGTGTGTGTCACCACATGCAGGCTCAGTCTCTTCTTTCTTATTAAATTTTATTTTATTTCCATCCCCCTCCCAAGCCCCCTCTCCAGTCTCTTTTAGACCGGATTTCACCATACTGTGTAAATTGGCCTCAAATTCACAATCTTCCCGCCTCAGTCTCCCAAATAGGTGGGACTGCAGGTGTGTACCACCATGCCTGGCAAGTTCAAGTTTTGCTTTTTGTTTCATTTTGTTTTTTTGAGCCAGAGTCTTGCTATGTAGTCCAGGCTGGCCTCAACCTCTTAGAGATCCTCCTGCCTCAGCCTCCCATGTGCTGGGATTACAGACATGTGCCACCACGCCTGGCAGTTTTGTTTTAAATTCAAATTCTTAATCATCCATATTTCAAAGACTAGCAATGGGCTGAGGGATTTAGTTCAGCAGCACAGAGTCTGCCTGGAGATCTCGAGGTCCTGAATTCAATAACCAGTATCAAAAAAACAAAACAAAGAAACAAAAAAAACTGTAAGGATTAAATCTAAATGTAAAAAGTAAACTGGGGCCAGGCGTGGTGGTGCACACCTATAATCCCAGCACTCGGGAGGATGAGGGAGGATCGCTGTGAGTTCGAGAGCAGCCTGGGCTACATAGTGAGTTCCAGGTCAGTCTCAACTACATAGTGAGACCCTGTCTCAAAGAGACACCTGAAAAAAAAAAAAAAAAAAAAAAAAAAAAAGTAAATTGGGAGTAGTACCAGCATGCTAGGAGGCTGAGGCAGGAGGATCCCAAATTCAAGATCAACTTGGGCAATTTAACAATTTAGCAAGATCCTATGTCAAATAAGAAATAAAAAGGGTTTGGGATGTAGCTCAGCGCAAAGGCCCTGGCTTCAATCCCCTGTACCAGAAAAAAAAAAAAAAAATTAAAGTGGCATAGTTTGTGTCTCTTCTGTTTCTTTTTCACAACCCCTGTTATATCATCTATTTCTTAGGCTATTTTGTGTTGCTTTGATTAAACACCTGAGGCTGGGTAAATTATAAGTAAAATGAGATGTATTTAGTCAACAGCTCTGAAGGGAAGTTCTGCTTCATAAAGCGGATGGCGTCACAGGATGGAAGCCCATGGGAGGCTGAAAAGTAGGTAACTGACAAAGAGGCCAAACAAAACACCAGGGGTAATCTTGCTTTATAACAACTGGCTCTCAGGTAAGGAATCCCGTCCTACCAGAGACCTGACTCCTCCCAGATCTAATCTAGTCCCCGGAGAAAGTCATCAATACACTCATGACAGCAGCGCCTCCATGACCCAAACACCTCCACAGGCCCCACCTTCTGACACAGTGCACTGAGAAATTAAGCCTCAACGTGAGTTTGGGCTGGGACGCACCAGTGAGGCTCTTTGGCAAAAGGGCTCCGTTACCTGGAGTGCTCAGTCTTCCATTTCCGGTCACATCATGTTATCAGTCACTGAATTCCTGGCCCTTTAACTGAGAGACAAAATTCGAGGGAGGCCAGAAGACACCGCCCCACGGTGCCATCTTTTCTCTTTGCAGGGGGTAGATCTCAGACTTTCTGAGACATAGGAAAGGGGTGTCCTGGTCTTGTTGTGGGAACTGCAGTACCTAATTTCCTTCTCCGGGTATCAGTTTTCTCTGTATTGGTGAGCTAGGCTGAAGACCCCCTGAAGCGAACACTGAACAATGGCAAGAACCATGTGCTCTGCAAATGTAGCCTCCCGCCTCCAGCGCCTTCAACAGGAATGGCACTAACAGAACTGATTGTACGCGGTTGACAAAGCTACTGAGTTAAACACTTCACGAAAAGCGCTTAGGACAGTGCCTTGGACAAGGTAAACATGCAGTAAGCGTTGGCACTGTTGTCTCAACATTCAGGTATCTCTATTACACAAGAGAATTCCTCCGTTAAATGTCTTCAACTCACAAAATGCAGTCAGAAACCTTGAATTTAGTGCTTTCCATGAGACAAGGACCAGCTTTTTCTGCCTCAATCCTACCGCTCGCTGGAGAACCACGACGAGCTCTGCTGAGGTCCCTCCCCCACCTCTCTCCACGGCGGCTGGCTAGGCGGCCAGAGGCCAGGACTTCCCGGCCCGCCCACCCCAGTCCCCATTGGCGGCCTCCTCGCTGGCGTGACTAAGGCCCTGCCCTCTTCTCGCTGGGACCACTCTGAGGCGATCTCCGGGAGCGGCGGGGGCCTGGGAGGCGAGGCTGCGATGTATCCTGGGTTTTGTAGTCCGTCTGCAAAGCTGCAGCCGGGGAGCTGGCCCTGAGGACGTGGAGAACTACAATTTCCAGCAGCCGCGCGGCGAGCGGGGGGGAGTGTGGGGGA